ATTAATTAAAAATTAATTTAATTTAATTAAAAACTTTTAGAGATCATTAGAGATCGAGTACGCGTTTACCATTCAATATCTTCTAATAAAAAAACTAAATTATTTGCTATGATTCCTAATATATTACCGATTTTATTTTGGATAAAACTTAAACTGACGAATATTGATAAAACGGTTTTTTATTTATTCCAACATTTTTATTAATAGAAAAGATCAGTTTTTGCCGGTTTTTCCGAGAAATACTGGTTTTTATCACTGGTATGGATTTAATTTAAAAAATGTGGAATTTTGTCAACCCTGATTTTTTAGCATTGAAAGATACACAAATTTAAAAGATAAATTTCTTTTTGTTTCATATATGATTTTGTGTGCATGCGTTGCGTGCGTGCTGCGTGCGTGCGTGCGTGCGTGCGTGCATGCGTGCGTGCGTGTGTGTGTGTGTCGCTTTTCTTTATGTTTTCTAATTATTATAAAGAAAAATAGATAAATTCATGTGTTATTTAATAAATTTTAATAAAAAAAAGAAGAGATATATATATACCATGCTACTGCTCGTTGACGATTTCAGTTCGTATGATTTAGTTGATCGATAATAAATCAAAGTGCGAAATGGTAGTTGTAAATTATTTTCGTGGCATTTCGTACTTTGCCTTTGTTTAGAAAACGCGAATGGCCGAGCGAATACATTTAATTCGAAATCAGACTCTAAATTATTCCAAATTAATTACGAGATGTAATTTCTTAATCTTCAATATAATTAATTAAATTGAATATAAATATATATTTAATTATATTCATCACTTCAAGCACGATATACTCGTGCCAGATAATATAAATAAAACTTTCAAGATTCTCTTTTATAATTTGAAAGATTTTCCCAATTTTAAAATTAAACTTTTTTCAGGTTGAACTTCGATTCGATTTAGTTTAAATTTCGGCCGCAAAAGAATTAGCTCGACGATTCGCACGTAGTTGTACTCATCCTCCTTCTTCACTCGCCCCGCAATCGATCGCCCTAACTCCTCTAGTAATCGAATCACTCTCATTTAATAAGTTTCAAAGTTATTATTAAGATAAACAAAAAAGAGAAAGAGCTTTCATCGAGAACGTTTTGGCTCTCGACAAATTATACTGTTAGCAATTATGCAGGGTGGTCGATTCGCGTTACCAAAAAGAGGATCGCACGTTCTCTCCCCCCTCTTCCTCCTTTCCCCCAGCCATCACGGCTTTCCTTTGCCTTTCGTCGCCCCTCTCTAATGACCTGTTCGTACGACTTGCAGCTCCACGGTGGCTCATCCCTCGGAATTGCCACCCTCTCCACACCAGTGGGAATAAAAAGTCTTCCCCGTTCCTGTCCCCAAGATAGAGACTATTGGACCCGAGGGTGACGACTTCGCGTCGCGCTCCGAGAAGAAAGGACAATCTTTCGACTGGAAGATAGTAAGTCGTCGATAACAAGAAGAAAGAAGAAGGCGAGGAGGAGGAAGGAAGACGGGGGACTGGAAACTATGGAGAGAAGAGCCAAGAGAGACAATAGACTGCCGCACATTGTAGCCTCAATTTTCGACTAGCCGATACATATACATGCGCGAGATATCGCATGGCGATGCGTAGAAAAATGCCGGGGAAATTTTGACGCAGAAATTTGGAATTTTCATTATTTATTTCTTTCTGAGAAAATTGGAAATTATTTTATTTTATCCTAGAAGTGGAATTTCTTCCGAAAATTTGAAAGTATTTTAAATAAATAAATAAATTCTCAATTTTTTTCGCAAGAATTCTACGAGGAAAGAATTGATTTTTCTCCATTTCTATTCTGAGGTTGTATTCTTCGAAAGACAGTTGCAAATTCTTTCGATTTTTCCTTAGGGAAATACACTTCGAGAAAAAGACTTTATTTTTTTTTTTTTTTTAGACGTACATTTAAATAATAACAATGTAAATCTTTTTTCGGTTTTTTTTTCTGGAACACAATTAACTGAATTATTATTCAGCAATGAAATGGAAATACAAGTACATGACGATATTCTGTTTAACAGTATTTGAATTATGAGATTCAATTTATCTCGATAGAAATTTTTTTGACAGATTATAGAATTTTTATTAAATTCGTAATCAATTATTATAATCATTATCATAATCAATTATCGATATCCTCGTAGAATTTCAGCGATCCTCATGGAATTCAAAGAAAATTCCAAGAATTTTAATAATCAATGTCAAGGACTAAGAAATAATTAAGAAAGAACAAAGAAAGAGACAGAATAGTCGCCACATCCGTCAAACATTCTTTTAGAGAAAATTCATTTAAAATTCCACAAAAACATTATCTCGTCGTTTCTCTGCGCATTTTACCGCATCCTGCATGTATATATAGCAATATATTATACATATACGTTGTATACACATGATATCAAGGGGAGAGAGACACGTGTAACACACATACACACACATACACACACACACACACACACACACACACACACATATATATACATATTAGCCAATTTAAAACACGAAGTAGCCAATTTTAATTCTGAGAAAGAGCAGCGGGAGATAGGGAGGATTTCTGGACGAGCGGAATCATGAGTACCGTGAGAGCAGAAAAGCGAAAAGGTGGAGGGGGAGTAATAGTTAATAGCGTTTAGTAAACACGAGCGTCCAAAAGACGGGCCAGTTCTTTTTTGTTTCTTAGATTTTACACATGTGTACAGGTCGCGCGCGAGGTCAGCTGGCATTTATATTGAATATGCGCACGCGTGGGAGGAAAGTGCCGGGAAAAGGAAAGCAAGATCCTTCTCGTCCTGATAATCGAGGCTCCTCTGACGTTAGAAAATATTTCTGAGAATGTCATACTGCGAATCGAATCGTCCTCGAAGAGACATGCCTCGACGATGTCGTCGCAGTAGCAAGATTAATGATCCGAATCGAATAGTCCTTGATTGGGATTGCGCGAGGATGCCTCGAGGAGTGAAAATATAACTCTTAATCAACAGAACATGTCGCTGCAAATAGACATTTGTTCTTGAAAGAATATCTCTCGAGGACGTCATCTTAATAATGATACAATTATTGCTCTACGAATCGAATAATCCTCGGCAGAATATTACTCGACGAGGATATCTTGAGGAGCGAGTAGACAATTCTCTAAATCCGGTCGTTCTCGATGAGATATCTCTTAAGGATATCGCGCAAGAACATTCAATCCTTGGCGAGATCCTTCATCGTTACAAAGATATTGCGAGTATGTCTGAAGGTCAGGCGGAATGTGCGAAGCCCGCTTCAAATCTAATTGCCACTGACGATATATTATTCGAGGATTTATATCGAAGAACGAGATATATTCGTCGAAATAAGATGTCGCGCGATCGATTCTCTTTCCGACTGGCGGAAACTCGAGAATGTTTCTTCCTCCGGGAAAACGCGACACGAGATGTGTACCGTTTACCGAAGCCTCGTGCGAACTAATCGATCATTGCGAGCATTGATACTTGATCGCGACATCGGCGAAATTCTCAAAATCCGCGACAGATCTGCTACGAAGAGGAACCGAGAGAAAAGAGAAGAGAGAAGATCGACGAGTCGAAGAAATCTTCATCGTCATCGATCCTTCTCGATGAAGTAATGACAATCCGGAACTGTTAAAGGGATTGTATAGCAAGACGAATAGCGGCGAACGATAATATATAACGGGTGGCTAGATCGTGCATTCGATTGGCACTTTTCCTCCCCAATGTGTCGGCATTAATAAGATAACGAATTAATTTCGACCAGCATTTGCTAGGAATAAAGACTAGTAAGTCCCTGATTGAGGCATTCTTCTTGAAGTGGAGAATAGACGAAGAAGAAGGAAAAATAGGTATAAGTTCGGGTAAATGCGCGCGACAATGCGGGATCAAGGAAAAGTGGGAAAATTGCGACAGCGAGTTGCAAACGCGAAAGATTTTGAGATTATAAATTCATGAAAGAAACGTGTATATATTGTCGTTGACAGGAGAGCTTTTGAGTATTCTCGTTACTTCCGAAAACTTTATGTTCGAAATAAAAATTCACATTAGCGAATTTAGAAAAAGTGCAAATTATCTTCGAAGTAATTTCGAAATTAATGACTCGATCGGCTGCGAAGTCGAGACAAATTCGAAAGTTGAAGGATCCCGAAAAGAACTTCCAAAGGATCGTTAAGTTTGCGCTCTCAATGAAAATTAATTTCGAGAATGACGAGAGGATGGAGAGCGTCG